GTTTTTACCGGTTTTTGACCGGTTTTGACCGGTTTTGACCTCAAACGGTTTTCTTATGTGAACCGAACCGTTTTTATCCCCGGGTACCGGTCCGACCGGTTCAACCGGCCGGTCCGGTCCGGTTTTAAAAACCTTGCTGAGAAGTGTCTGCGGCGGCAAAACCCTCAAAAAAAATATCGGTAGGGTCACATGTATCCTTAAAAAAAAAAGCAAAGATGTATTATCTCTTTAAATCATAAATCAATATAAATCACTTGTTTTTTAATGAAAAATGTTAAAATTTTATTTGTTACATTAGTATTTTTTAACAAAAAATATTAAAAAAAAAGTTATTTATATTGATTTATGTTTTGAAAGGATAATCTATTTTTATTTTTTATTTTTAAATAAATGTATCTCTATTAATATTTTTTTGGGTGAATTTGAAAGTTATGCCTTTGTGTACTCTCTTTTCTGACAACTAATGGAGGTTAGAATTATTTTCCTAAGTGCTTAATTTTTTCCTTTTACCTTAAAGTGTATGTATGCTGTTTATTTTTTTAATTTTTTAATGATAAAATTCTACAAATACAAAGAAATCAAATGATACCCCTTCAGACCCAATAATTGTTTTCAAAGTGAAAAATGTACCGTCCAACTCTCAAAAAAAGTAGAAGTACAAAAATCAATAGAAAAAAAGATGAGTTTATTTTTATATTGATATTACTATAATGTTCGGAAACATGTAAATATGTAATATCATATTTAAGTAATTTTGTATCTTTTGTCATATAAGAATTTTGGAAAATCTAAATAAAAGAGGTAAAAAAAATAATCATAATTTTCAAAATAAATCATCCAATTCTTTACGTGGACAACTCTCTTTATAACCAACAGAATGCTTTACCCAAGAGAATCAAAATATTTAAACATAGATCAGTCATAATGACTTTTTAAAATTATTGGTTTTACTAATATAGTTGTCAAAAATTTAATATGATGTTTTAAATAAATTTTTTATTTAAAATATTTTATTTAATATATTTAAATTACAAATTAATTTTAGTAAATCTATATGATGTATCTTATTGTATTTAATTAGTCTATATGTTCAGCACCATATTTATGATTTTAAAAAAAAAATTTATATACTTTTTATTTTTTTGTTAAAATGAAGAAAAGAGAAAAAGATCTTCGATATGGGTTGGGTGCTGACACTACCATTTCGGTGTCGATGTGATGTGTTAAGAATTTGGCGAGCGAGGCGTGGAATTTGATATTGAAGTGTCGCTACTTAAATAGTAGTGTCGAATACTTATGTTTTATTGTCTAAATCAACTCCAAGTCTGTGCAGTCACTGTAAATTTTTTTGACACCCCAGTAATTTAGTGAGTCTCATTGATAGAATTCTTTTATCAACTCAGCATTAAGATTTAATTAATTTTTAAATGGTAAAATTAAAAAAATAATATTTTTGATTAAAAACTTTTAAAAGATAATAATTTTAATTAGTTCAATAAAAAATGATACTCTTAATTGAATTTTTTTTTTTTTTAAATGATGTTCTTATACATGTGAAATCTCATTTTTGCATTCAAGCCAGGCAGCAACATTGGTTTAGCCGCTAAAAGTTATGTTTCCATTACTTTATAGAATTACTTTGAGACTATATCAAAGGTGATATGGTGACATTTTCCCTCTAGGTGGGGTAGATCTCAGCTTCCTGTTTCCTTTGGCCAAAGGGCATTTTGCCTTTTGACACAGATCAACATCATTTCTGCTCTTTTGTTACCAAAAAGGGACTTGGTTTTTCAGTACATGTCTGATAGCTTAGCCAATTAGAGGAGAATAAATATAGATGTTGCCTTCTAGGAAATTTGATTTAAAGCAAAGTTGTTCTTGTTACAGCGGTTAGAACACATTGAGATTTGGGAGATCTGAATATTGCATACGGCAAAAAAATAAAAATAAAAATAAAAAAAGAGTTGGTTGGAATATCTGGTGAAGGCGAGAACAGGTTATGCTATATATTCAAAGAACTAATAAAACCAGAACACTTTCCAAAATCAAGGGCATCCTAGATATGCACTGTGGTTCATTCAAGATTAATCCTACAAATTAACGGTCAATTATGCAGCAAAAAGCTGCAGAATAAACTTTAACCAAGTCTTTGTCAAGATATTGAGCAAATTAAGCAACTACTGTACTTTTTGGCAATCTTCGATATAGCAAGATGATTAGCATTAGGATAAATGTAAGCTTGCTTTTAATAATGATGCAGTGCATTTGTGATAGTTATCTACAAAACCCCACCTACTAATTAAACTGTATTTTAAAGTTCATAGATGACAAATTATCTCATTTTCTTGGATATAGGACTTCAAGCTGTCTAACATAATGTTTCATGGTATTGCCTTCAATGCACATGTCTCAATTTCAATTGGTTTAAAACTTTTCAATCTCCATCATTTTAGATCCATAACAAGACATCTAATCTCGTGTTTCTTTGTTCTTCTACAGAGCCTGCTAAGAAAACAACCATGAATGCACTTGCGGCAACCAACAGAAATTTTAAGCTCGCAGCGCGGCTTCTGGGGTTGGACTCTAAGCTTGAGAAGAGTCTGCTCATTCCATTCAGAGAAATCAAGGTGCTCCCTTAATTATTCTCTTATTTTTCTTTTACTAGTTTAACTATTCCTTCCAAAGTGTTATTCGTCGATGGAGTACCAAAGTATCTGCGAAAAAGGGTCAAGGATGGCTCTATGACATTGTTCTGACATTCATTGCTCATTTGCAGTTTGAGTTGAAATGTTGGTGATACAATTCAACTACCATTCAAACTACTGAAAATTTTCATTTTTTTTCTTCTTCTTCTAATTAGCTGAATCCATAGTTCTAGAGATAGATTGATGCCTATCTTTTGGGTGTTCTATACAATAATTTCCATCATTTACATTGATCTTTCTCACTGCGAAGGTTGATATGGGTGATTTCAAGGCATTTGAGCTCAAAGCAGACGCTTTGACTTGCTGGGTTTTGAATTTGTGCTGTATCAGTAAGTTCTGGTTCTCAAATGGATATTGGATATGTTTACAGGTTGAGTTTACTATGCTGAAAGACGATGGAAGTCTGGCATCTTTTGTTGGGTTCAGGGTTCAGCATGACAATGCTAGGGGACCCATGAAAGGAGGCATCAGATAACACCCTGAGGTTGCTTACATTCTGTTTGTTTTAAAATACCCTGAAACAGGACAAATCACTCTGCTGGTAGAAGTAAAATCTTCCAGTGTATTTTCTGTTTCCTTCAAGTTTCACATGTACTAAATTTCAGCTCTACATATCAAATAGCATGCTATTTGTATTCTGTGGCTTTATCAGCAATGTGTAAGTTTGGATTCTGACTATTTCTGGGACAATCCAGGTTGATCCAGATGAAGTGAATGCCTTAGCACAACTGGTGACATGGAAGACAGCAGTGGCTAACATCCACTATGGTGGGGCTAAAGGCGGGATATGCTGTGATCCCGGCGAGCTTAGCATCTATGAGCTTGAACGTCTGACACGAGTTTTCACTCATAAGATTCATGACCTCATTGGTATCCTCACAGATGTTCCAGCACCTGATATGGGCACAGGGCCACAGGTAAGAGTGTTTTCTTAAAGTCACTTGGGAAGATGATGAATAGAACAAGTGGATTCTTGGGCTTTTGAAGTGAATTTGTAGCTGAACTTGGAAACTTGATTTCTCATTACAGGCTATGGCATGATACTAGATGAGTACTCAAAATTCCATGGATACTCACCAGCAGTAGTGGCCGGAAAACCTATAGTAAGTACATATGGAGGATCAAACCCCTATTTTGGTCCCTGAACTATTGTACGGACCCCCGATTTGGTCCCTGAACTAAAGAAATCACTAATTTGGTTCTTGAACTATTGTACAGATCCCTAAACTATTGTACGGACTTCCAAGTTAGTCCCTAAATTATTGTACGGATGCTTAATTTGGTCCCTACTGTTTACTAATTTAACCCCAACTTGGTCCTTCTGTTAAATAATAGCTCAGGGACCAAATTGGGGCAAAATTGTAAACAGTAAGGATCAAATTGGGGGTCCGTACAATAGTTCAAGGACCAATAGTGGGGACCAAATCGGAGGTCCGTACAATAGTTTAAGGACCAAATCAAGGATTTCTTTAGTTCAGGGACCAAATCGGGGGTCCGTATAATAATTCAGAGACCAAAATGGGGATTTAACCTTTCTAAATATACATAGTGTTTGTCTTAGCCTATAAGCTGGTCAAACCTGCTTATAAGCACATGTTGCTCGTTTGGAAAAGAATTCCAAACTTAGCTTAAACTGAGCTTGTTCCCGGGGATGAGTTTGGCAAACTCGAGCTCAAACCCAATTTTGTTTATTCTCAAATCTCTTATTCATGGGAAAATAAATTAAAATATATTACTCATACTCAAGCTCAAGCTTTAAAAAAGGCTCATTACCATAAACAAACCAGCTCGCATGATTTCAGGCTGAATAAACAAAACTAGGGTTCACAGAAATACAGAATGAGTTTGGTAAAGGAAGGGCTATCCCTATTGTAATAAAAATAAAATAGACTGTTTATAAGCGCATTTTCTAAACCATAATTAACACCCTCCGCATCTGACGTATAGACCAAGCACGGTTCCAATGGATCACGTTTTTGAATAGACAGCTATCAAATCCACATTTAAACTGAATATGTAATTCTTTCTAAAAATAGCTATCAAAGCCACAAATTGAACTCAAGAAAAACATGAATAGGCAACAAAAAGTGAACCATTGGCAGACAAAAATCAAAATTAAGTTCAGCAATCAAATTTTCATGGTTATATGTCCATAAGTTAAAACACAGAATATGGGCAATTGTAATGTTACAAAATGTTGTCCTAAGCTCTGCCTCTTCCTCTGAAGCCACCACCACGGCTCCCGCCTCTACCTCCAGCTCTGCCACCTCTTGGAGCACCTCTTCCATGAAAAGCTCCACCTCCATGGCCCCCACCTCTTCCACCACCTCTACCTCCCGCACGGCCACCTCTTGCAGCAGGTTGTGACTGGCCCCTGGAAACAACAGAACAGGGCGCCATTTTAAGATTTATTTGAATGAGAGGTAATACAAAATACATAACAGAAATAATCTATTAAGGCAAGTATATGATTT